AAATTGGTGTAGAAAATTGGAACTTTTTCGAAAATTTGTGGGGGAATATGGGATTATCCCTATTTTTTATAATCCAAAAATCCAGAAATAGGAACTAATTTTATATATATATATATATATATATATATAGATTTCAAATTTAAATAAGACAAAGTAATCTTACATCGTCTCGCTAAACCGATATAATAATAGATACTTGGTAAGATGAATAACAAAAACACAGATGGTTGTATTTTCTATTTAATGATAAATTCGGTTGCGAATATAAAAAAATATACGTTAAAATCGATAATACGTATATTTATATGCAATGGTGTATGGATAAACAGATACATATATGCGCAAGACAATTATTCTTTATCGCTGTATTTAAATGAGAAACACTCTAAATAGACACAGCTATACTTACAAATATACGTATTTGGCTCCGTATTAATTAGTTAAGTATCTGAGATTAAATTAATGATGTGTGGTACTTTCAGTTGGTCGATGTAAGAGATGACGCGTTCGCGTTAGGGCGTGAGAAACATGCCTTTTGTCCTGTACCAAATGTGGCGCTGACCGTTGACCACCTTTGACCGTTGACTGCGCTCATAAACTAGCAGCTCAAAATAGTCAACGGATTTTAGTCACCTTTTCAGTATTTATATAGAAAGAGAGAAATTATGCAATTGGGGCATAAATTAGTCAGCATTTCTCTAATACGTATAATCTCAAACATTATAGATATTTAATTTTTTAGATTTATCAAAATTGATTGCAATATTCTTAGTATTTTTTTTCTGGAAATGAAATGGAATAACTAATAAAATTTTATACGAACATCAAAACAACGTACACATGTTTTCATTGTCAAAGTGATAAAATAGACGAACAAAAACGTCTCTTTTTTTATTTGTCTTAAAAACAAAGATAACCCATTGTTTAAAAAAATTATTTAATTGAGATGACAAACGATAAATACAAAAGCACACTATTATTTCACATATAAGAACCGGACTGTACCAAACCAAAAATTTTGGTATTTTTTCGAATCGTATCATTCAAAATCTTTTACCGGTATATTTTTTATGGAACCGAATTTTCCGGAACCAAATCAAACTGAACTTTATAAAATTTTTGAAAAAAACGAAAAAAATGAAATCGCACCGTACTAATTTGATATAAGTTTTAGAATATCGAATAAATCGTTCTCCAATCGAACCGTTAAAATTCGAAAAATTGTAATCTCACAATCCACTTCCTTCTTTATACTTCCACTCTACCGTTTTATCACCCATATTTAATCAATCCACTTCCATCTTACAGTAACACTACTCTAAATCCATCACTTGCTTTCATGATCTTATTTACAATTCTACTGTAAAATAAAAATATTTAATATATCGTTGTTTTCAATTGCGGGTCGCAAAACGCAACGTCTTGTTCGGATATATGTATATAATATTCCGATTTTGAAAAATGTATGCTCTCTTTCTTATCGGTTGAACCACTCAATCTCGGATAAATCATTCAGATTTGTATTTGGATAGAGATATTTAAGATTTTGCACCATTTCTCTCTTTCTCCTCGCGACCACAAAATCATGGGTTGATATAGAGATGACCTCCCATGGTCCCAATTACATATATTTTCCACACAGGAATATATATATGTGTGTATATATATATATGGGACAGAAATTACAGCATATATATAATAACAAGCATCAAGACTCTCGGCTAGGGTACGTTCTAAGCATGCATGAAGAATGATGAACTACATATGTCACTCGTTATATTAACATAAAAACAAAGAAAACACAAAAGGGGAAGAAGCTCTAATGGTCAACCAATCGCACGTCTCACAACTTTCCATGCATGCATGTTCAGCTGCAACCCAAAAGAGAGTCAGCATCCACACATCAAGAAACAAAACAACAAAAGATACATAGACTTACTTGCTTCACATCTATACGTGCACATACCAATATAAATATATGTCCATATTTGCAATTATATGTGTGTGGAGAGAGAGAGAGAGAGAGAGAGAGAGAGGTGACAGAGAGAGAGGTGACAGAGAGAGGGTGAGCACACAGAGCTTCGAGCATGAACATGCAAGGAAATTACCATGTGTGCTCACTCTCTTCTGTCGCCTTCCATATATAGTCACCTCTTACAAAACTGTAGTGATCACCATCATCATCATCATCTATCTGAAGAACTATATAATTGATTCTTCATCTTCACGGTACCTAACTCATCATAGATTTTTGTTGTCTAGGGTTTATATATTGCGTGCTTCATGCTCTGTTCACGTCATCATCCATTACGTTTTTATTCCTGTTAACTATTATTCCTCGGTTTTAAACCCTACATCTCGTCAAGTTAAGCCTCCGTATATATACGTATCTCTTTCTCTTTCAATTAACACGTACATGTATATACATATATATACTTCCACGTTTCTATATTCTATTCCTGTTCTTCATTTTTTATACTACATGATGGCATCACTTTAACATGCCATAATATCCTAAAAAAATAATTTTTTATTTTACATGTTGTCGAGACATAAATTCCCCAATCAAAGTTTGGAGGATTACGTATATCCTTGCATGGACAAATGCGAATTCGAAACGTTAGCTCGAGAAATTTATATAGAAATGTGGTTAAAAAAAAGGGGGGAATAAAGTTAGATTTAATTAATTAAGCAAAGACGCTAATTAAATGCAATTAGCCGTTCTATGATTATATATTCTTGTAATTGTTTTATAGCTTTGGATTTGATTCTCTTTGCATTTTCTCATATGTTTTAAGTGTTGTATGCTACAACCCTCACATGCGGTCCCCTCTTCTCGATCGAATATATAAAAACTAAATAGTTATAATTTTTTAAAATCGTAAAAATCGAATAAAATCTATTATATAAAAAATAAATGATAATGATTTTTTTTAAAAAAAAGAAAAAATAGATCAGAATCCAAATAAAAGGAACAACAACAAAAATAATTTTTTTTAAAAAAAAATAGTATTATTTTCAACAAAACCAAACACGAACATAATGTAACCAAACTAAACCGAAGTCAACTTTAAAACCAAACGGTTATAATTTTTAAAATTGAAATAACCGAAACCCAAACAAATGACCCTTGGACGTAAATATATAAGTTATCATATCACGAAACTCAGGATAGAGATCAAAGCAGAGAACAAGTGAAACAGACAACTTTGGTCCCATTGAAACACTGTCCGAACCAAAAGCACAAACGATAAGGAACGTTTTGCTTGCCTCAGAGAAAGCAAGCCAAAACTACAAGAGCACGAGCCCTAGCTCTGACGGCTTGATGCCATTCCTGACCCGATAATTGTAGAGATAGTAATGGAGCTGCCCATCTCCAGGTCCAAATTTCAGTTCTTTCAGGAACGATTCATTCTGCATTACGTCCAGAGCATTGAAGACGTCAAACTCTTTCTTCTTCGCGACGATTAGGGCATCATTCATCAGCTGAAGCAACGGGGTTCTGGTGGCGACGTTGTAGTACGAATATGCAGCTTTAAGCGTCGAGTAATTAGGGTTTCCGAGGATAGACGAAGGCAGAGTGTAGAAACTGCAGAAATCGGTGACCTCGTGAGTTTCTGGGCTCTCGACCAGATAGCTGTCTACCACATCTTCTTGCGGCAATAGCCAATGTTCCACATCATTCTCATCCAGATCGGGCGCAACCACAAACCGGCTGAGGTAATTTCTGAGCAACCGGGTCACAGCAGATACGTCCCGTAGCTCCATTTTTCTGAATCCGGGAGTGGCCGGCGAACTAGGAAGCTTGTACAGCTTAATGGTTCTGCTCATCGTCATCCTCGGCCCGAGCCTTGAAAACCCAACATCGATGAGCTTTTTAGGGTTCAAAGACCGATGCCAGTATTGACAAGTCGTGATCGGAGTAGGGAGGATGACTCCCGCGGTATAGGCAGCTTGCCAAATGTTCTCCAAGTGAACCCTCCTGGTAACCTCCTTGATCATAACGGGTGCGAGCCGTTTCGATCTGAGCTTTTTGTGAACACACAAGAAATTGATCTCGGCCATCTTCACGACTTCGTCCCGAACCCGGATTCTAGCGGGTACTCCAGTGATGAAAGCCACGAGCTTTTTCGAGTCTTTGACACGGACACCAATATGCCAGCTCCTGTAATAGCCCGGTGGTCTAAGCGCCCACCTGAGGAATTCCTTGGAATAGTTAAACCTGAACATGTTCTCATCATCCTCAACATAGTTGTTCTTCAGCAGATTGTAAACCTCATTGCAAGTCCCCTCATCATCCATATCACAGGTGGTCCATTCATATTGAGCCGGCAAGTTATACGGCTCCTGCTTGACCTCGGCCAGAGGGGTCGGGGCCTCGATAGTGCCTTCGGGCAAGTTAGTGTCGGCGATTTCCTTAAACTGCCTAACAGGCTGAGTCTCCCAAAACTTGTGTTTCCCCGCTGTAAACGCATCTTGAAATCTGCTGACTATCGTTTCGAGTGAGCTATCATCCTTGGAAATCGGGTTTTCCTCGTGATTCAATTCAGGGTTTTCGCTGGGTGGCCTGGATTGCGAGTTGTTACCGTCCATTTTCACGGTCTATGAACTTCAACCGCTTAACCGATGGAAACCCAGAAATATATGAACTCCTAACAGATAAAAACAAGCTTCCACAGTTACAATTGCGACCCAATAATCAGAGAGAAATGCTTGTACAAAAGCATGAAGCATGAAACTTCAGATCAAACAGCAAAATCCTGTTTGAAGCTCTCCCGTTCAAACAAATCAACCGTACGTATGACGGAAAACACCCGTAAACAGTAACGAAACAACCAATTTCTAGGATACCCATTAAGATTCAAACCTCAACGAGCTAGGATTTATCTTGCATTCGATGAATACAGAATCAGGAACGTATAAAGGAACAAGGAAGCTACTAACCCTCGATTCCGGCAATGCTTATCGGCAGATCCAAATTCCAATTTACCCTAAATCGACGATCGACCGGCCGATCTTCCAAGCAATCTGAATCGGGAATCGCTGATTCGTGAAATGGGAAATCAGGTTCCTAAAATAACCAGAGTTCGATAGCTCCGTTATATCCACGCGCCTGGGGGGAATCCGCGCTCGCGTGTCATCCTCTCTTTCCCATGAAATTACCTTTCTGCCATCGGTTACATAAATATTATTGCATTTATTCCAAATCACGCCTGAATTATTTTTCCTCCACCAATACCCCCTAATAATAAGTTCAAAACATAACCTTTCAATTTGACTATATATAATACTTTCTCTATTTCAAAAATAAATTTCGATTCAAATTCAGTACAAGAACATATATAATCCCATCATTCCCTTATTTATTACACCACGTCAAATTAAAATTTATTAGTACTTTAACTTGATGATAAATTGAGATTAAAAAAAGTTATCTTGAAATCTAAACACCAAATTATTTTAGAAAATAATCATGAAATAAAATTTGTATTGAAATTAGATGATGTAGTCTTGCCTCTTGGTAAGTGACTAATTACAATTTGTAACATTGGTGTGTGTACATATATCCAAGCACAAGGGTGTTTAATAAATCGCCTAAAATATGGGTCTAAACTGGAAAATATTTAAAGTATAGAGGTTGATGGGGAAAATCTTCAAAAAATATTATGGCTCGCGATGTAAAACGACGTCGTTAAAGTAGCCTTCTTTGTCATCTCCTCGTCACGCTTGTTGCCGCCGGCGTTCTGCACGACTGTCTCCACTCTGCTTTCACCTTTCGCAGTTGCCATTGCCGAACCACGAGAGTATCAACACAAAGGGAACGAAGACGACGACGACGACGAAGAAGAAGAAGAAGAAGAAGAAAAAGATGTACGGAAACGCTACGAACTGGGACGAAGATGCTTACAGAGAAACCATATTGAAGGAGCGAGAGATCCAAACCCGTACGGTCTTCAGAACCGCCTGGGCTCCTTCGAGGAAAAACCCTAATCCAGACGCCTTTGTCCTTGCCTCCAGCGATGGAACCCTAGCTTTCTATTCTCTATCCTCGCTTGTTTCCGGGTCGACGAGTCTCAGCTACTCGAAAGGCGAGGATGCGGAGGTGGCTGAACCGAAGGGTTTGGTTAGGGCACACGACGGACCCGCTTATGATGTCAAATTCTATGGCGACGACGAAGATGCTTTGCTCCTCAGGTAATTGAAATGAAATGAAATTCATGGTTGATTGATGTTTATATGATTCTGGCGTTGAGGATAGGATACATTCTTAAAAAGAGTGATTTAGGAAGTGGGTTTTTTACCGTCTGATTCCTTGTAGCTGTGGTGATGATGGACGAGTTCGGGGATGGAAATGGATGCAGTTTTCTGAATCGGAGGTTCCTCTTCATTCACAAGGTACGTTCGAAATTATTCAGATTATGGCATTTATGCTTAATTCGATGCTTGTGAACTGGTAAAGTATGGTGCTTGGATTCTTCTTGTGCTTACGATTTGAAGGTATTTTGGAGTTCGAAAATCGAAAACCTTTTTTTTTTCTCGTGATCTGTAGTTTTCCCCTTTTTTCTCGTGATCTGTAGGGAACCATGTTAAGCCATTGCTTGAATTGACTACTCCTCAACACGAGTGAGTCATCCTTTATATAGATTTGCTTAATTATGAGCTATTCTTTCATGGTGAGACTCTCTACTCAATTGATATTCGAATGCTTTGTGCTAATGTTCCTTTCCTTCTTCTCCTTCCATAGAGGTCCTTGGGGTGCTCGTTCGCCGATGCCTGAAATCAATGCTATTGCTGTTGATCCTCCGGTTGGCAATCCGTTTCTCTTTTTACCTCTCTGCTTATTGTAGTATTTCCCCCTTGAAACGACCCGTTATTTATCAGTGTACAGCTCTAGTCTACTAATTGTTTCTTCCCCACAAAATTTCAATCTATGTCAGTCGGAAAGCATTTTTACTGCGGCTGGTGACTCTCACGCGTATTGCTGGGACATGGTATGTATTTGGTCAAGGTGAATATTTTGTCACCGTTTTACTGTTTCTCGAAATGTAGTATTTTGTAGTTTTTAACTTCTTGATGTTCATTTATCTGCATCATCCTCTGTCAGGAGAGTGGTAAAATCAAAATGGTTTTCCGGGGTCATTCAGATTACCTGCATTGTATAGTTTCTCGTAAGTCTGCAAGTCAGGTAATGGTTTTGTTACCTTCATTTTTTATTATCTATTCGAGAGATATTTTTTCATAAATATCACTGAATTTCATTTCATATATTAATAGGTCTTCTGCCCTTTTGAATCTCTCATTTCAGATAGTGACGGGTTCAGAAGATGGGACTGCAAGAATCTGGGGTATCTGATTCTGTCTGCTATTCCAATCATATGATGTCTTGTCTTATCTTCAAATTGCTTGTTGAAATTCAAATCGAGGTCATAGAGTTCTTCAGTTGGAACTCGAGTCAACTGTATTGACACACAATGTAGTTTTATTGAGTTGCTTCTGATTTATGTCTAATTCATTTTTGGTTATTAAAAAACTTCTTGCTTTGGTTTTCTGACATCAAATTAGTACACTCATGGGCTTTTTCCCTTCCTTTTAACCAGACTGCAAATCAGGAAAATGTGTTAAAGTCATCGGTCCTAAGGGGAAAGGATTCGGGTTTCATGTGAGTTCTGTGGCGCTCGATGAAAGTGAAAGCTGGTTGGTAAGGATTTAGGCAATCGAGTTCCTATTATCTCTCTACATGTATCTGCTGCTTTGAACTATGGTTGCTTCCAATAACTCTACGCACATTTTGTGTTTCTTCTCAGAACTACAGAGAAATATAAAGAACGGATTCTTAAGATTCTTGCTATTGATCTTCTTTGTTTGCAGCTTTGTGGACAAGGTAGAAATTTATTTGTGTGGAATCTTCCCACCTCAGAACGTATCTCAACAATTTCCATCCCTACACCTGTGCAAGACATAGTTTTCGATGACAAGCAAGTAAGTGATACGAACTTTGGTTACGAAAGGGTCTCTAATACGCATGAGAGGCGATAGTTTCTATTAGGCTACAATTACTGAGTCCTTGCTGAATGGAAAAAGTCCGATGACCTTAGCACGGGATTCTTCCTAAAAAGAGTTTATGAAATTTTTTTTAGTCCATTAAGTTTCTTATCCGGGCCAAAAATTCGTGTATTAGTGTCCGATGTCTTTGTTGAAGCTATATCCACGCCTAACGAAATCGCGTCATCAGATTTTGGCTGTCGGAGCAGGACCTCTTCTGAGGCGTTTTGACCTAAATGGAGCTTCACTCTCCCAAGTTGAATGTGCTCCTCATTCAGCATTTTCCGTCTCGTTGCATGCATCGGGAGTATGTTCACTGTTCCTTCTCTCTGGAATCTGCTTTTACTTGCTTAACCCTTTGGAGTTTATAACATAAATGATCTATATATCTATTCCTTATCAATCAACCGTCACTTCATTTGGTTTGACCTTCAATCTTAATTCACAAATCCCTTGCTTTTATCACAAGTTTGTGTATTTTGACAGTGTCTGCCTCATTGTATAAAGAACCGATATACTTGTGCATTGTCAGGTTGTAGCGGTTGGAGGTTATGGAGGTCTGGTGGATGTCATTTCTCAGTTCGGAAGCCATCTCTGCACGTTTCGTAGCAAAGGGTTGTGAGATTCTTCTTCCCGAGGGGCTGCTTGATTCGGTCGGTCCATTGACGGGACCGATCTCAGATTAGAGTCGAGTAGAAGAATTCTGGTTCGGCCTATATAAATATCTGAATCTGAGCTTGTTTCCTATCTGACCACTGCCCAAAACTTGAGCTGTATGTTTCTTAGGTTTTGCCATCGAGTTCAAGACTCTTCCTGTCACCTGTCTCTGCTGAATCGCTGATGCAGATTGTCACAGCCGGTTATCTGGTCTGGTTCGGTTTGATCTTTGCTGGAAAACCAGACCATCGATTTGGTTCTTAGAACGATGTTTGGGTCGGAATTGGTATCTCTGCCCAGTTCGTTTCTTCCGTTTATTAAACTTCTGAAATACCAAAACATAGTATGCCATTACAAGTTTTGGTTAAGTCCGGTTAGGGTATTCCAAAAGAATGGTTTGGATTGGGAGGCATGCAAACCAGGAAGGCATTAACAGGCCTTTTATATCTTCGGATATTTGGTCGTCATAATATATATATATATATATATATATATATATATGCCCTTTTCATTTTCTTCTTTTATTATCCGAATATTGAAGATTTAATTATAAATTATACAAAATCCTTGGATGGTAGACAATATATTAAGTTCATCTACTCGTAACAAGTTCAAATCAGCATCATCCTTAGAATATATATTTGATTTTGGGTCTATTAAATTATAAATGGGTTGTGATGTGACACCGACAACACACATGTGAAATAAGAAATCCAAAAAAAAAAAAAGACAAATGCAAAGCCCATTGAGATGACGTCACCTTGATTGCTCTCACCATCCTCCGACCCATTCCATCTTATTATTTACCCATTTATTTCTTATACATCTATAAATCACAAAAATTTTATTTATATATATCTCTATACATATAGGCTTTAAATGATTCAAATTTGAATTTGTATCACTATCGTTCTGTAAAATTATGTCTAAATTTAAATTTTCAAGTAAGGAAATTATGTCTGTACAATCCCGTTAAGCATATCTATTGCTTAATTTAAATAACCAAAACGAGGAAATTTCCGATGTCTATGATTGAAATAATTTAATACCCTTACACATGTGGTTGAAATCGGATATTGTACTAAATCACTTTATGCATAATTCAAATATACTATTGTTTTTTTTTTCAGGTTGTTGTCGGCAAAATTACGCAATAATTTAGAATCTTGGGAAAAAAATTAAAAATGAAATCGTTTTTTTACCCCTCAAAGAAACACGGATTCATAATATAAAATGATATCTCCACCGCTATATCTCCATAACCATTGCCATTGTCATCATCCTCTCCCTCTCGTAGAAGAGCTTGAAATTTGCTTTTTATGGGGATGCGACACAATCAAACCGTTTCCTTAGCGTCCAAACGTCTTCCAGATTTTCCCCTTTCTTCTCTCTTAATCTTCAAGAATCGCCTTTTCTCCGCTAGATTCTGCTGATCTCTGCATTCTCCTCTCTTGCATGGTCTTCTTTTTCTCTGTCTTTTTCTTCGTTCTAGAACGTTCAAGAACCTCTGCTGGTTTCTCTCGAACGCTTCAATGGTGATTATGGGTTCTGGTGGAGGCGTGGATGCCGCCATGGCGACGGAGGGTGGTGTCGGAGAGTTTCGGGATCTCGACCGGCCCCGTCTTCGGAAGTCTGGATCGGCGGCCGAGGGAGCTTTACCCGATGGTTCGCCGGAGGATGATGGCGGTGCACCGGTGGCTGACGTGAGGGGTCGGATGGATTCCGGCGATGCCGCGGTGGAGCCCGCGAACTTCGCCGGAGATAACGGCGGGATTGCTGAGATTAGGGAAACCAGAGGAGACCGCGCCAGAGGAGAGGTTGATATAAAATTCACGTACCGGCCGTCGGTTCCGGCTCATCGGAGGGTGATGGAGAGCCCGCTTAGCTCCGATGCAATCTTCAAACAGGTAATCTGGGAATTTCAAAAATTTCGAGGAGAGGATTTGCTTTTCTTTGAATTTTCTTGTGGTGGGTTCGTCTTATAATGAATCGAAGAACTTGCTTCCAAATTGCTTGTTGCAAAAATTCCGCTTTTGACGAAGCTAACAACGAGTAATTTCCATGGCAGAGCCACGCCGGGCTATTCAACCTCTGTATAGTTGTTCTTATTGCAGTGAACAGCAGGCTTATCATCGAAAACTTGATGAAGGTTAGTTCTTCCCATCGATTCTTTCAAGAATTTAGGGAGACTAGTCTTTGTAGATTACGAGTTAGCGAACTTGCTATACAGCCTTAGGATCATAACTGAGTTCTGGGTTCTTCTTGTATCATGCAGTACGGTTGGTTGATCAGAACTGGCTTCTGGTTTAGTTCGAGATCGCTGAGAGATTGGCCCCTTTTCATGTGTTGGTAATGCTTTTTCCTTAGTTGCTGAATTGCATATATGGCGAGTTTAGTATCCTGGCTGAGGTTATGGTTCCCATTGCAGTCTAACCCTTCCGATTTTCCCTCTGGCCGCCTTTTTAGTCGAGAAATTGGTACAACGGAAATGGATATCTGAACCTGTGAGTAAAAGTACCTGAAAGTTGAATCCCCTTCCGAGATTTATACTGATCAATGGATATTGTTACTTGAAAGCGTTTATGATTTTGTTTTGCACTGAAGGTTGTCATCCTTCTTCACATTGTCATCACGTCAACAGAGGTCTTATATCCAGTTCTCGTGACCCTAAGGTTAGAAATTAGCTGAGGGTTGTTTCCTCAGCTTGTTATGATGTAGCCATGTAGATTACTTGCTCGATTTTGACGGTCATAAAAAATGGGCAGGTGTGATTCCGCCTTCTTATCAGGTGTCACTTTGATGCTGTTCACTTGCATCGTGTGGCTAAAGCTGGTTTCGTATGCTCATACTAACTATGATATGAGAACCCTTTCCAAGTCTGGTGATAAGGTAGAAAATATAAATTTGAATATAGGTAAAAAAGAAAACATTATGATTATGTTACTATTAACTGACTGTTATTATTATAAACTCAGGCCAATTCTGAAGTCTCGTATGTCGTTAACCTGAAGAGCTTGGCATACTTCATGGTTGCTCCGACATTGTGTTACCAGGTACAGATATATGCACTTTCCACCGATAGTATCAGACATTACTAAAAGTTTCTAGGCTGAACTTCTAATTTGTTTTTCCTTTTTCAGCCGACCTATCCTCGTTCTCCATGTATCCGAAAGGGTTGGGTGGCTCGTCAATTTGCCAAACTGATCATATTTACTGGACTCATGGGATTTATAATAGAGCAAGTATGTCCAAACTCTATTGATAACTCTAGTGTTTTTTCCCCCTGATGAATCAAGTCTGAGCTCTAACAAAGCGTGTTCTTCTGTTGTACTTCTTGGCAGTATATAAATCCTATTGTTAGGAACTCGAAGCATCCATTGAAAGGGGATCTATTATATGCCATAGAAAGGGTATTGAAGCTTTCAGTTCCAAACTTATACGTATGGCTCTGCATGTTCTACTGCTTTTTCCACCTTTGGTAGGTCGACTTCCCCGAGCAAAAGATGTATTATCCTTCTCCTCTTGGTATAATCTTGAGAAATATACTGACAATCAAGAAGATTTTTGTTATTACAACACGAAATAATTCTGAGATGCAACCCATTATAGATTCTTAAGAGATGATCAATGAGTATTCTGGTTCAATGTCTCCAATACAGGTTAAACATACTGGCAGAACTTCTTCGGTTCGGAGACCGTGGATTTTACAAGGACTGGTGGAATGCAAAGAGTGTGGGCGAGGTGGGTTTTGTCAATATCCAGATATTGTTCCATTTCCAATTGTCCTGTTTCTCCTTGACTAACACCAAATTCCATGTCTTAATTGTTGTACAATGACACTGTCTTCCTCCACAGTATTGGAAAATGTGGAATATGGTATGACCCTTCCTCTGCTTTTAAATTCAATTCCTGGGTCTTTTTTCTTGCCCATACAAGAACAGAAAGGAGAACGTCTCTTGTAACTAATGAAGACGCCTCTATTTGTCTACAGCCTGTTCATAAATGGATGGTTCGCCATTTGTACTTTCCATGCCTGCGCCATAGGATTCCAAAGGTTGAGTGAGATTTGTTGTTTACAAATCTGAGATTTATGCAGAGATTCTGAAGTTAAAATGTCTTAATTCTTGGTTCTTTTTTCCTCCCAGGTGTCTGCCTTTGTCATTGCTTTCTTAGTATCAGCAGTTTTTCATGAGGTATGCCTTTCTCCAAATCCGAAGTCCCTTTTCTCTATACACAGAGATGATGTTTGTGCTAATTATGAACTGACATATACACATACATATACATATACAGCTATGCATTGCGGTCCCCTGCCGTGTTTTCAAGCTGTGGGCTTTCATCGGGATCATGTTTCAGGTTAAGAATTTACGGAAACTTCTCTACGATTTTTGTAAGAAATCTTCAAGAACTTGAGCAAATTCGAAGGAAAAGAAAAAATGTATTCTGCGTTTTCTGTTTCTTGAGCAGGTGCCCTTGGTATTCATCACAAACTACCTGCAAGAAAAGTTCGGTTCGATGGTAGGATATCTTGCTCTAACTCAAGGGTCATTTTCTTTTATTTTTTTCCGGCATTTGAGCCTTTGAGGTGATGTTCATGGAATTCTGTGATCAGGTGGGGAACATGGTCTTCTGGTTCATCTTCTGCATATTTGGGCAACCCATGTGCGTGCTTCTCTATTACCACGACCTTATGAACCGCAAAGGACAGGCCTCCTAGTGAAGTCCTGTTCTGGCTCTCCAACATATGAAACCTTCTTTAACGATCCGCGGGTTTCGGAACACAGATCACTTTGTTCTATTCTTTACGGTAGAAGAAAAAAAAGAGAGAATGGGCGCTTTTGCCTAACCCAAATTTTGGGTAGTCTATATTGAAACAAGTGAACGGTCAATCTATGTTGGAACACTCTGTTTGAATCAGAGAATCTGAGTTCAAATGATTGTAACAAAGCATATGGTCGGATTCAGACACGAAGAAAGCAGAGTGTAAGAAACAAATCGTAACCATGCGATTCTTCGTTGGGACCATACATCAAGAACCATCTTGAACTTTATTTACCATGTTCGTGCCCAAACATGAACTCAGACATAACTCGGAAAGAGATTTGATCGAACTTGGAATTGATTTTGATTTAGAAAGTGGTGGTGGTGGTGACGTGATCGACACGGTAGTAGAGACTTGGATGAAGGCGTGGAGTGATCAAGACACTGAGAGGAGTGGCTTTGTTGTTAACCAGACCGTTGGTCTCGGTCATGTCCACGTCTTGGTTCGATGGTGTGGCCAAGTCGAAGCTGTGTAAGAATCTCGCCAATGGATAATGCAGCATTCTCAGTGCCAGAGGGATTCCGGGACACGACCGTTTCCCCATCCCAAACGGTAACAGCTTGAAGCTTTGTCCTCCGAGTCCCACGTCCTTGCCTTGACCGGCAAGAAACCTCTCTGGCTCGAACCTATCTGGATCGGGCCAAAGGCTCGGGTCACGCTGTATCTTCCACGCGTTTACCAGTAGCCGAGTACCTACGGGAACGTGATAATTGCCACTGGCGATCTCGAAATCTTCCTGGACAGTCCTCAACGAGAGGAAAGGAACCGGTGGGTATAAACGGAACGTCTCCTTGACGATGGCTTGGATGTAAACGAGGTCTTTGATGTCTGATTCTTGCACAAGCCTTGTCTTTCCACCGACCACGCTGTCTAGTTCTTCCCGAGCTTTCTTCAACGTGCGTGGATTGTTGAGAAGCAATGCAACCGCCCAGACGAGAATCACTGTCGCTGTTTCGCTCGTTGCAAACACCAGTTCCTGCACGGTAATTGATTAAACCTAGATTTAAAAGTTTAGATCGAGGTTGTTTAGGCCGAGAGATTTCTTACGAGGCAGAGAGCCTTGATGGTTTTATGAGCGTCTAAACCCGGAATCTTGCTTCGTTCGATGAACTCGATCAGTAGGTCCAAGTAATCTTTGTCTTCGTCTCGATCTTTCTTCTTCATCCTGTGCTCTGCTACCCAAGATTCGATGATCTCATCGAAATCCTTAGCCGTTCTCTTCATGGCCCGTTTGATCGGCCAATCCAATAACCATCCTAAACCAGGCAAGAAATCCGAAAACAGGTAGAGCCCGAAGTAGTCCCTAAAGTCACGCACCAGTTTCCGACATTTCTTTGCCTCTCGTTCCTCCACCGTATGACTTTCCCCGAAATATCGCTTTCCCGAAAGCATCATCAGCGAAATATTCGCGGTGAGGTCATGAAACTCTCGGCTCATATCCACGACAACTTTGTTATTTCCCTCCCACCTCCGGTATATATCCCCGAACGCGATATCGGCCTCCACAACTCTGCTCCTCTCCAGCATGTCGAGACGATAAGTGGACAGAAGCTCGGTAATGGTGAGCTTACGAAGCTCGCGCCAGTAAGGACCGTAAGGACAGAACGTCAAGAACGAGTGGTCGTACCCCACGAGCTTCGAGGCCATGAGAGGAGGCCTGGTGGGGGATTTGTCGTGGACGGTGTAACATTCTCGGGCTATGTCGTGGCCGCTTATGATCAATAGCCTTAGGGACCCGAGCTTGGTGGCGAAGATGGGTCCGTAGGCGTCAGCCAGTGCTCCTAACGTGACGTGAGTGAGTTGACGAGTGTTGTATATCGGCAAGTGACCGATCAGTGGCCATGCTCCGGCCACTTCCGGCACGTTGCAACGTTTCTTATTCGGGTTCGAGCCAAATAACAGAGGGATGACGAAGATGGAGGAGAATGAAAGGAGGAGAGTGACGACAAGGAAAAGAGTTGAGTCCATTGAAGCTGTTAGGCTCCGAGCTTTGTTTGTTTGGGGGGAAGAGGCTAATGTCGTTCGGCCTTTTGATGGGTTTATAACTTAGCTTCACAGGTAACATTTTTTCATTTGGTAAAATATTTTATTCTTCGGAAAATGGTTGAAGAAAAGAAAATTGTTTGTTTTGGGTGTAATAGCAAACGAAAAATCATCAACTTGGCTATAAAAAAATCGTTTTTTTTTTAAATTTATTATAAAAGTTTTATCAATTATTAATTTTGAATAAAAAAAAATATCTAACGTATTCAAAAACATCATTTTATTGTAACGTATTCAAAAACATTATTTCATTTCAATTTTTTTTATAAAACTCATCAACTATTAGTTTTAAAAAAATCAATTATCTAAATTACTAAAAAATATTATATTGTAAATTTATTGTAAAAATATAAATACATATATATCTATATATATATTATGATATTTAAAATTATTTAATTCATAAACATCTTCTTTTATATAATAAATTTGAATATTATTTTTGTATTTAAAATTAAGTATATTTTATTGATCACAAATTTTTATTTCAAATTTTGTAATTATTAATATTTAAAATGTTAAAGTATCAATTTAATGTTTTATAAAAAAATAATTAGTAGCTGAATATTATATAGCTTATCATCCGTCTATCACTACATTATATATTTATATAATAAAAATGAATATCAGAAATAATTTAACTTAAATTTAAAATAAATTAAGTAATAAAATGCAGATTTTTTGAATATTTTTTTAAAATTTATTTGATCTCATCTTTGACATTTAGATATGTATAATTTGGGAATGTTTTAGCCAAATTCAACTTGGTCCATTTTTTAGCGAGCCAAAAATTGATCAATCTAATCTAAATCACTTCAACTCAACTCGTAGACTAAATATATATATTTAAATATTAAAAACATTTAAAAATATAATAAAAAATAAAATTTTAAACAAAACAAATTAAATATCTAATAAAAAAACTTGTGCTTCCACACCACCATACCATCACATTTGGGCTTAGACGAACTATTTTTTTTTTTTTTTGGTTAAGTGGTGACTCAAGGGTTTAGACAAACGATTTACGACTATAACCCAAAAAACTCGAATTAAAACGGAATAAGAAATCTAAAATCAGAATATCCAATAGATGTCGAAAAAATTGGAATTGTTACGTAAAAAATATGCATTATTGGTAGGGTTTCAATCGCGTCAGGTCTTTTTGGCATTTATAAGATCCAACGACTGCCTTTGTAGTGTATTGATCAAGGAGGAAAGAAAATATTTAGGTGAAAAGAACGATATTTATGTCGCCCCATGAAATGAATCCGTAACCCCCACGCCAAAATATTGGACCGACCTCTTCGTTTGGACATCTTTGCAACAAATTCATTTTACCAAAAATCTTATGCATTAACTGTTATATAAATTTAGACCAAGTTTTGTTTTTTGAATTTTATCTATGCATTTTTATAGATAGATTTAACATCACCAAATAATATCGTTGTACTAGATTTTAAATTACGATTAACGACAGCTTTTTGTAGAATATGAAAGATGAGAAAAAGAAAAAAATTTGGTGAAAAAGAAATAAATGGATGTCACCCAATGAAATGAAGCCATCATCAATCCACAATATATTATGTCATATGATATTATGTAGAATATATGTAGCTGCTACACGTAAAGTAGGTATAACCACGGGTATATTTTGATATACCTTTTTATGTAATAATATAGTAACCTAAATTTTTTTATTTTATAATTTATAAAATAAAGATGTTAAATAATTCGATAAATTAAATATTCAATATTTACGGAACCAATTATCTTATTTTTTTATTTTATTTTAACCGTAAGTTTTTTTACGATTAAAAAAAATCTATCATACCACCATAAGATCCGCATTTATGTATGGTAGTGAATGTTGCACGACGAAATAATAACATATGTCCAAAATAAACGTGGTTGAAATGAGAATGTTAAAATAGATGTGCTAATATATAATGATGGATAGAATAAAAAAATGAAACTATTAAAGAGAAAATATAAGTAATATGTACACAAAATATGAGTAATATGTATAGAATTAAAGATAAAGAATATAGGAATGGAGAAGAATAGAAAAAGAAATGGTATATATATACACTTACTTGGCAACAAATCATTAGATATGATTTAGAATTGTTGCAAATTATGGAAAAACTAACGCAAGACCGAAACGAATGGAAATGAAGAATCTATACGGTCGATCTCAAATAAATTTTCGATTAAGACAATATTGATGTTGATAAAGGTATTTATATTAAAGAAAAGCATATAAATGTTATAGTTTTGTGTAAATAGAAAGCACAAGTTTCATCAAAGTATTTAGGAACTCATTGAACCAAGTCCTTATGAGCTTATTTATTAAAACTATATATTGAACTCCAAAGGAATTTCATCGAACTTGGAATTGATTCCTTTTTATTTAGAAAGTTGTGGCGGTGTTAACCAGACCGTTGGTCTAAGTCATGTCCACGCCTTGGTTCAACGGCGTGGCCAAGTGGAAGCTATGCAAGAATCTCGCCAATGAATAATGCACCATCCTTAGAGCCAGAGGGGTTCCGGAACATGACCGTTTGGCGTTTACCTAATCCTTACGGTAATAGCTTGAATTTATCCTCCGAGTCCCACGACATCCGCACCAACCTCTCTGATTCAAACCGTTCTGGATCGGGCCAAAGGCTCGGGGACGTTGTGTTGAAGAACAAGTAAGCCAATACATCAATGAACCAACACTTACTTCACATGAAGCCTCTCGTATTGGCAAAGAAAGCTCTTGGACAACAAGGATCGGATATGGCAATAGGCCAAGTCGTCTACAAGGAATGGAAAGTCCTAAATATTATCTAGTTCAGATGGTCACCGAGTGGAAAGAATACAAGAAGAAATCAAGAAAGAAAACAAGAGGAATAATCAAGCTAATTAAGCAATATCTACCATGATTTTCTCTACTAAGAATATCAATTATATAGTCGTTTGAATCTGTCATTAAGTCACGAATTTCCTTCTTTGTCTTTTGTAATTATTCCCTCTCCTTCTCTCATTGGTTGAATATTCTGCATTATGTAAAGTCAAAGTAGCCGTTAGTTCCACTTGTATAAATTTAGACATTAGCTTTGTGTAAAGAAAGTTAAGTAATAATGTCTTATTTTCTTCTGTAACTTCTTGTCTCTTTTTTCAAATGTCTCCAAGTCTATTTTCTTCTGTTTCCTCAACCATAAGCATGTTACAAACTCTAGAATTCTATACGTTGTATCCTCGACGCGTTTTACCATTATTTTGTGTACCTATAAACACAAGATGTCGAGAAAGTGAAGGAAAGAAGGCCAAATGAATCCAAATGGGGTGATCTGGTGGTTGGATAGCACAAAGTGTTCCCATGTTCAAATCCCATTGCACCAAATCTTACCAAAACAAAAGGAGGCCAAATGAATACTAATCATTGTCATATATATTGTGGCAGGTTCTTCAGAACAAGTTTCCAACCAGACACTGACTCAGACGTTGGGGAATGAAAATGAATCCCATGCTTATGCGGAGAGACTGAAGAAACGCACAATCACTTATTTTTGTGTTGTCTTTACAGCACATCGCAGACCGATGCTAGAGGGAGCCGCCGATGGAGATGGCCGAATGCGTGGCATGGATCACGTCGGGTGCCAATGATACCACAAGAGACAGGTTGGTTATTGTGAAGCTCCTCTTGCATGCAGTAACCTATATGATTTGGTGGATAGGAACAAGCGCACTTTCAAGAATGATAAAGCTTTACGGAATATCATCTTGTTGTCTTTGAGATTGAAAATGAAGGAACAAACATGTTCACTTACAAATTGGTACTATCTTATGCGGCAACTAGCGAGTTATCCGGACTGATATTTTGCTTTTGAATGTATTTGTAATTTAATTTTGATCACTTACGATGATAATTCTTTATATTTCTCATTTCGGTTGAGAGGTTAAAAACCTGGTTGTAACAAACTCTGATTTTTTTTATATATACATACTCACATTAAACAAAAAAAAAAATCATTGTCATATATAGAAATGCAGTACATATATATACGCAGCTGCTGGAAAATGATAGCTGCCATTGGCAATATCGAAATCTTCATGGACGACAGCCCTAAACGAGAGAAAATGAATTGATGGGTACGTATACCCGGAAGGTCCCCTTGGCAATGGCTTGGAGATAAACAAGTTCTTTGATGTCTGATTCTTGCACAACCCTTATCTATCCACCGATCACCCGAGCTTTCTTCAACATGTGTGGGTTGTTGGGAAGTAGGGCGACAACCTAGGCGAGAACCATCGCTTCGCTCATAGCAAACACTAACTCCTGCATGTAACCCGCACGATTATGAACTCAACCTCGGTCTGCTGCTGCTAATCAAGGTGTCGTAGCTGCTGCTGTAGCCGCGCGAGGAAGAGAAGCTAGCTAGGGTTGTGCGATTTCTTTTTCTTTTGGTAGATAATTATCGTATTCTATTATGTTAACGAGGATATTACACAAAGAAGAAGAATACAGAGACATGGATGGATGTTATCAATTCATGTATGATCATATTCCATGATGTCTATGATGATTGTACGACCATGACCTGTGAATCTTGTTTGGGTGGTAGGATCCGATACGAGAAATTGGAAATTGTCCAAATTATTTAATATTTATTTGTTCTGCATTTTAAAAGTGTTCCTAATTATATTATAATTCGATTAGGGCTTTAGGACTTTTCTTTTGTTTTCGGAATTGTTATGTTTTAATATTATATAAAGAACTGAGTGACTTCCAAATATGTGAAATTCGAGTTACTTATTTATATTCTTCTGCATATTACTTTTAATCTCAATTTATCATATGCATTTTTTCTTCCCCTTCTCTTCACATAATTATTTTCGTTTGCATTTTTCCACGTAAATTACTCTGTTCCTCGTAGTTATTTCGGTTCGTTTCTTCATTATTTTACCAATCACCTACCAACCAATCTCCAACATATAAAACGGTATATCTGTAATGTAATTTTTTTTTACCGCATTCAAAGTTTACTCCCCATACAGTATTATCACATGTCGAATATTAAAATCAGTCATCTAACTCGGTATGGTTCAGTCACTTTCACATTGAAAGCATCACTAAAGCTCGGTTTTGAACGTAGAGGGTATCTGTCACGCCGTAGAACTATACTGGTTAGATCATTAATAAGGGATAGATATTGTCGATTCCATATATGTATGTATGTATGTATATAAAGTGCGTGTAGGTCCAAAATAATTGTGGAATAATAAATGGGCATACCGATAATATCTTAATGCGGATTAGTGAGAGGATTAATGTGGTTTAGGTGAAGGGTTAAATGCATGTCCCCATACATACACCCACCCTTTCATTCATTCACCGCTCCTCCGTAATCTCTTCTTCCTAGTTGTTGAGACCCTAGTAAATTCTTTTTTGGCTTTTTCCCTTAGCTCTTTAACTTGTAAAATGATCGAAATTAAATTAATTTTTATACTTTTCGCTTAACAAATTTATTCCCAAACTTGCAAAACATATCATTATAATTCACAAACTTGTTAATTGATACCAGAAAAAATCTCGATAATGTTGATCCAAAAATAATTTTGTAGATTATAGTGACACATTTTACAAGTTTGAGAATAAATCTGTTAAACGAAAAGTTTATGAATTAATTTTCGATTATCTTATAAATTTAGAAATTTTTTATAGGTTTTACCTTTTTTCGGTGTATTTTGATATTCAAATTGTATTTATTCGATTGTTATTGTGTTGCTGGTTCAAGTTACAGAGATCGAATCGTCGTTGAAACAGTATTAGATAATATCTTTTTTTTTTATAACTGATTTTCCGTTCTATCAAAATCTTTGTCTAAATGGAATGCTATTTCGTATTTTTTTTTCGTATGATATTACAGAAATTTTGTATAAATTAATAGAGATTAAACTACTAATAGATAAGATTCCCGTACGGCCAGGAAGAACCACATGCATGAGCGTTATTGTTGACGTCGAAACATGGATTTAGTTGATAGGTATAATAAATGAGACATAAATGAGATGTTTCGCGACGAATTGCAAGTTGCAGCTTTGCATGCCTATCTATGTATGTATACATATATATACATATATAATATTATGTCCATAGAAAATAAAAGGCTTCCTTGCATATGTGAGAGACCGTTCGAAATATATATGTCATTGTTTCTGTATGTATAAATTTGATTTCATTGATTTATTTATATTTGTTTTAGCATTCCGCGTTTGCACAAACACACCCACACACAAAACATATATGCAGATGCATGCGCATGTATATATTCAACTGCTTTTGCATGTATATATATTTTTTTGTAAACTATATTTGCGTGTTTGTGTTTTTAATTAAAACTTATTCTCTTATACATGTTCGAAGGTATAGCCGTTAAATTATTTTTAGCTTTTAACATTTAATTGTATTTATTAGAGAATTTAGGTGAGAATAATACATATATAATAAGAGAAACTATAATCAAACTATGAATAATTTTATAAATGATAGTTTTCTTTCTCGTAGCATTTATCTTAATATAAATACACACACACACATATATATATATGTATGTGTGTGTGTGTGTGTATTCATAAAACAAAGAATATTCAAATGTTATCTATATCGTGGCAACCTATATATGAATGTATATATATACATATAATTGGTTCGGCAACCGTCCTATTTAAAGTAGCATTGGAACTGTATTTGATACAAGTGGTTGAGATCCTCATAAATATTGTGGCTAATTTTCTAGATACAAATTAAATATGCGTGAGATTTTATATACATTCACACAATCACATTCGCAAAAGCAACACAAAATTTCTTTACTCATTCTCCATACTAAGAATTCTGTGTTGGTATCCATTTACAAACACATCAAATACCCGAATTCGAAACATCTTGAAGCAGTCACATTTCATACCGATCCATCAATTCGGTCGATATTTTCTAAAGATTCTGTGAAACTGATCTCTCTTGGTAAGTTTTTTTCTTTTTTATAAAAAAAAATGGGGTATTCTTGGGCAATTTGTATATATATATATATATATATATATATGTGTGTGTTGGTGTTTTGAGATCTCACTTAATCATGTATTTGCAGCACGTCCGTCTTTGGTCTCGTTACAAAACCGGCTCGAGATGGCACCGGTTATTATGAAAAAGTGTTACACGGTTCGACCGGCTGAACCAACAAGGATCGGACGGTTTCCGTTAACCGAATTGGACCAAGTGAACACCATTAACCACGTCTCCATCGTTTACCTGTACAAAAAACCAGCCGAGAGTTTCAAAGGCAACGTCGTCGAAATCCTCAAGAGCTCGTTGAGCCGGGCGCTTTTCCATTTTTACCCTTTGGCCGGCCGTTTGCGGTGGTCCTCCGGCAGCCGGCTCGAGCTCGATTGCAATGCTGCCGGCGTTCCGTTCGTCGTGGCGGAATCCGAGGCCGAGCTGTCCGACTCCGACGACTTCTATCTGTTGCCGGAATACGATAAACTTGTGGCGCAAGTAAACTACAAGAACCCGATAGAGAAGATCCCTCTTTTGCTGATTCAGATCACGAAATTCAAGTGCGGAGGATTCAGTATCAGTGGTAACGTTTCTCACGTCATCGTCGACGGGCAAAGCACCTTTCACTTCATCTCCGAGTGGGCGAGAATCGCCAGAGGAGAGCCTCTTGGTGTGATCCCGTTTCTTGACCGGAAAATCCTCCGGGCCGGCGAACCTCCGGCGATGGATTCTCAGCCGTTGGATCGTAAGGTTCTCGATCAGCCGCCGTCGATGATAAACGAAGAGAGGGAGAAGAACAAGAAGAAGAAGACGAAGGTGGCGATGCTGAGACTGAGCAAGACGGACGTGCAGAAGCTTCGGAACAGAGCCAACATGAGCGAATCCGCCGATCCGGCCAGAGGGTTTACACGTTACGAGGCGGTGACAGGGCACGTGTGGCGGTCCGTGAGCAGGGCACGTGGCCACCTCCCTCAGCAGCCGACGGCCGTGGGACTCTGCATCGACTCACGCAGCAGAATGCAGCCTCCTCTTCCTCAGGGCTATTTTGGGAACGCCACTGTTGACGTGATTGCTGTCAGCACCTCTGGTAAGTTTCCCCGCAAATAATTCCAACTTAGAGAATTTGTCAATGATTTCTGATTAATTATCTGACATATAATCTTCATAAACCTGATTTCTAGCTTTTAGACGTTACACAGTACAAATCTAATCATATAATTAAATGAAGATTGTGCTTGTTTGAACACACACAGGGGAGTTGATCTCGAAGCCACTGGGGCATGCGGTGAGAAAAATCCGAGAGGCGATAAAGAAAGTGACGGACGACTACGTGAGATCGGAGATAGAGTATCTGAAAAGGCAGGAGGATCTGAGAAAGTTTCAGGATCTACATGCCTTGGGAGGCACGGAAAGACCGTTCTACGGAAACCCTAATCTCGCAGTCGTGAGTTGGCTGAACCTTCCCATCTGCGGGTTCGATTTCGGGTGGGGAAGCGAGGTTTTCAAAGGGCCCGGAACCTACGATTTCGACGGCGACTCCCTGCTCTTGCCCGACCATGACGACCCTGGCTCCGTCGTTCTTGCTCTGTGCCTTGAAGAGTCTCATATGGAGGCTTTCAAGAAGTATTTCTACGAAGATATCTAATTTTTTTTCAGTGTTATAGCTATTTATTTATATCGGTGGACGATTATTACATGAATGCCATTGCATCCTTTTATATATATATATATATATAGTTCTGCTTCTTGCATGGATCTGTAACAATTTACGTTACCAAAGAACACGTAACCAATGTTGTGTTTCTGTCTTTCATGCTACGACTAAGTATGCTATGAAAACGCTAAATCCTGAATTACAACTTTCACCAAAATATATAGAGAATGTTTTAATTTTTTCATCCGAACCATGCAATACATATATAAATAAATAGTAAAAGATATAATGTTAATGTTAATTCTAAAAGAAATATTTTTTTCACATACATAAAAACGAAAGTTCATACATTCATAAAACAGGATACAAACAAAGATGGAAATTGGATAATCCAAATTTTTGGTACGCTAAATCGATCTTTATACATTTGCTGCGTAATACGGAAAATAATAATAAAACACTATAAATAAAAAAGACTTGCAAATACATTTACAAAATTTGTGGTGTTTTTATATGTTTTCACCAAATCTAAATTGGTATTAATGATTTTTATGATATTATTTCGATGGGAAAATTACCGTTCAAACTAAGAAAAATTCAAAACTTTGTATACAGAATACTCAACTTTGAATAAAAAATGTTTATTCTTTAATTTATAAAATTTTTGAAGCCCTTTATACTGAATAAACAAAAACGTTGTAGAAAACTTACTGATAAATCTTTTAAAAATTGAGGCGTTGTTTATATACAATAATCAAAATATTATAAAAAATGTTTATAAAATCATCGATAAAGATTTGGCGGTGCTATATATATACGATTGTCAAATATAACAAGAAAGATCTGAAAGCAAAAAATTAATTCAAAAGTATAAATTTAATTATTAACATCAAATGTCTGAACTTACTTGTGTATGAATAAAATAAATAAAGAAAAAAATATAAAATTACCAAAAGAAATGTTTCGACTGAAAGTCATATAAAGTGACCAGGTATTTATGGTCTGGTCGCCTCCCGACGCCCCCTTCTTTCTGTCCCCAAAATCTAGGGTTTTCTCTTCCTCTCGCATGATGAGCAACGACAAGGACAGCTTGAATATGGGCGATCTCGCCGCCGGTAAATTCGACCATTCTTCTCCATAACCCTAATCGCAAAATATCGAATCTCCTCGGATTCTCACTGAAAAATCACTCTTTTTTTTTGTTGTAGCGCTTAACGACGAGGACCGAGCTGGGCTTGTTAATGCTCTGAAGGTGAGTTTGAATTGACAATGTGATTTGTTTTATGTCCGAGAATTGAAGGTGCCGATTGCAAAGGGGATCGTTATTCCGCGGTGTTTGGGCTTTTGTCTTGTTCCTGTTTGCCATAGAGGTCGTGTTCCATGATCAAGCGATACATACTGTGTTTTCTTCTCATTCAGGAGATATTTTTCTTTGTGTCAAATATCGTGGCAGGTGTGATTGTGAATGCTTGTTCCGGTTGCTACTGCTCTGGAAAATCGTTTGATATGAAAAAATTGGGGTTTTTTAATATTGGATTGTGATTCGATTGCAGATTGTCTGTCATTTGTTTGTTTTAATGGTTGGAACTTAGTTGTGATCATTAATGGCCTCGGAGTTGATGATGTGTTTTCTTTTTTACAGAACAAGTTGCAGAATTTGGCCGGACAGCACTCCGATGTACTCGAGAACTTGACCCCCAAAGTCAGGAAGCGTGTCGAGGCTCTAAGAGAGATACAGGTGTGTGAATTTCTGCCGAATCTGTATGATCAGACAAATTGTGTAACGTTTTGTCTGAATTTTGGTGTGATGTGTGTGTGCCATTTTATCTGGTAGCTTCTCCACTTTATACTGCCTTGTTGCTTGCTGATTAGGAATTCTTGATCAATTTGAATGAGTCAGTCGATTTGTTGAGATATGTTGGAGAAAATAGTCTGATCAGATTTCTTCTGCCTTACAGAATCAATATGATGAACTGGAAGCAAAATTTCTCGAGGAGAGGGCAGCGCTAGAAGCCAAATACCAAAAGCTATATCAGCCTCTCTATACCAAGGTTTGAAAATGATCTTTGAGCTACGAGAAAAGTTATTCTATTTCCTATTATTAGAATTTGTAGATACCCTTGATCCGTTACTCAGAAGGTGAGTATTCTAAACCATCCCCTTGTCACTGTACTATAGATCGGTGTGTCTTGATATAGAACTGTCCAATATTGTAAATGACGGCAGTCTTCCCTAGTTTCTAATTCGTTGAATTCATGCAGCGATATGAGATTGTGAATGGTGTGGTTGAAGTTGAAGTAACCCCAGAAGAAATTAAAGCAGAACAAGGAGAGGATAAAGCGGCTGAAGGTGCGTCTTCAACTTCCTCAGTCCAAGAACTGAGATGTGGTTATCTAAGTTTCCTCTTTCCAAATTATGTGTGTATTTGATTCTCAGCAGATAAAGGGGTACCGGATTTCTGGCTTATTGCGTTGAAGAACAATGATGTGATTACCGAGGAGGTTTGTCATTTAGGATATGCTATTTTTGTTATATGGCTTTTGTTCAAGGAAAGCTGAAAGATTGACGTTATTGCCTCTTTGTGTATACTTACGGCCATGACTTCAGATAACCGAACGTGATGAAGGAGCACTCAAGTATCTCAAAGACATTAAATGGAGCAGGGTTGAAGAACCGAAGGGCTTCAAGCTTGAGTTTTTCTTTGATCAGAATCCATATTTCAAGAACAATGTTTTGACAAAAACATATCACATGATTGATGAGGATGAGCCTATCCTTGAGAAAGCCATGGGGTAAGTACGGTTTTTTCTGTGTGATTCTCTTGTGTATTTTGTTTATTTTTTGTTTTACACAAACACAACTTAATCTTATTGTTTCTTGTTCAGAACGGACATCGAGTGGTATCCTGGAAAATGCTTGACTCAGAAGATTCTAAAGAAGAAGCCTAAGAAAGGGTCGAAGAATACAAAGCCTATCACCAAGACTGCAGACTGTGAAAGCTTCTTCAACTTTTTCAACCCACCTGAGGTTCCAGATGATGAGGAAGATCTTGATGATGATATGGTTGGTATTCCTAATGTTACCTATCTGACTCAGCAAAACATTTTTTTTTACATTCAGAATGTGTAATCATATATCTGATCGACATATTTTTATCCTGTGCAGGCTGATGAACTTCAAAGCGAATTGGAACATGACTATGACATCGGGTCGGTTTGCCTTTGCAGTTTTTACTTCCTCTGTTCTTTCGTGTACTTCTTAAGTGGTTGCAACCTTTGGATCACTGAATTGCAAAGTCTGAATCTTTTTATATATATATATTTTTTTCGTGCAGATCTACCATTAAAGATAAGATCATTCCGCATGCTGTGTCATGGTTTACGGGGGAAGCTGTCCAGGTGGATGAGCTTGACATGGAGGACGATGATGATGATGATATTGATGAAGATGATGATGAAGAGGACGAGGATGAGGATGAGGATGATGACGAGGGAAAGAAAAGCAAGAAGAAGGTATGCATCTAATCTTAACATTCGCCACCAATCGGATGATATAAATTATTCAAACTTGACCCGATTTCTCTTGTTGTTTGCAGTGATCGGCCGGTGCATAAGGTAACTATCAATCTAATCCAATTGCATGCACATAACCTATAAAATAAAAGCATCATTCTTGGTTTATGAAAGCGGTTGTTGTTGATAAATCTCGGGTTCTCTATCAATCTTTTCTTTATACGACAGAAGGGTAGGAAGATGTCAGGGCGGAAGTGAGAAAGCAGGCCTCAGTAGAAAGGGTGGGTTTATATGTTGTGGACAAAACCGCTTATGCTTATGCTTATGCTTGACGATGGTGTCCGAAGATGGATCCAAAAAAATGGTGTTATTTATGAAGAGACAGTCCGTTTATCAGTTTTGGGTGGTGCTCTGCTTATTTTCTCCCATTTCCCCCTTTGGGTTTCTTTCTTGTTTTGGTTATAGATAGTGCAACAAGCATTTTGGACAAAAACTTGTTCTTTTTGGTTATATATATTATTGTTTTGGTTATGCAAAACCAATTCAAATGGATAATGTGTAATTTTATTTGAACCAAATTTGATTTAAAAAATGTATGGATGTCATTATTTGTTAAATTGAAAATTTGATTTATTTTAAATGAATATTTTTGTAGGAAAAAATAAATTTGAATCAAATTAAAAATTAGATCAAATAAGAAAGTATTTGGAATTAAATATCCATATTATAGAAGCCAGATATCCATCTTGGTGCATTGTTAGCAAAAGACTACTTGGGAGAGTGCGCCCAAAAATTTAGTTTACTTTGGTAGGGTACGGTAGTTTGGCGAAACCGGGGTGTTAAATTGGAATTGGTTCGATTCGATTTGATTTCAATTCGATAATCAACACAATTTTTACCATATCGACACAAAACCGGGGTGTTAAAATGATCATAATATTAATATATATACATATATCAAAAAAGTTTTAAAAAGCATGTTATTATCGACACTATATAATGTAAGTTATGGATAATAGATGGGGAGTGCAAAATTTCAAACCGATCTATGCTGGTCGATCCGGTTTATGTAAACCGATAAATGAGCCGGTTCAGCGTTCGGTTAGTTAGTCCGTGTGATGTGAATACAAGACGGTTTCGTTCTTCCGGCGGACACAATCCAATAGGAAGCCGATCAAAACGACAAAAAGAAAAGGGAAAATGTGACCCGAGAGGGAGGGAAAACAAAAACCCCAAAACCCTAATACTCCTCCTCCGGTCCTTCTTCTCTGTTCCTTCGTTTCCGTCTCTTCTTCAGCGAGCTATCTTGCTCACATGAGATTGTCTCCTGGGTAGTTCAAATTCTGCATTTTTCTGTCTTGTTCCGTGATCAGAAAAGTACAGTAGCGGCTTGGTGGGTTTCCATGGCGAGAATTCTCCGAAACGTTTCTTCACTGCGGCGCTCTCTTTTCGCGTCGGAGGTATTGTCTTTCTCGTTTCTCCTATTTGATTTCCTGGCTATTGTTGGGATAAAACATTTCCTGGGTCATCATTATTGGCTCATGGTCTGTCTTCTGAGGGAGCTCATTTACGAGAACAGTGAACCCAGAAATGTTGTCTCTTCTTCTTTGGTCTTTATGGGACATACTTGAAAAAGGGTTTAATGGTTTTGGCAGGTCTGTACAGGAGGAATAGTTGGAACATCGTCTCAGCTCCGAGGTTTTGCTTCTAAAGGTAGATTAAAGCTTGCATCTTTTTGAATTGTGTATTTTTGAATGGGTCCGAAGATTGAATTGCTTGGGTTTTTCATTTGGTGGTTCGTTTTTTCAATAAAGACTCGATCTTTCAGTAAACTGCTCAAATTCCCAACGCCGTAGCTATTGCTTGTGTCTTTTTGTTAGTTGGTTTATTCTGTTTCTTTCTTACAGTTAAAAGGTTTTGCCATAAACTCTTGTGACGGTATTTGTCCTTTGAAGGCAAAAAGGGATCCAAGTCAGATGGAAGTGAATCATCTGAGGATGGCATGTCCAAAAAGGAGATTGCACTTCAGCAAGCGCTTGATCAGATAACGAGTTCATTTGGAAAGGGTTCGATTATGTGGCTTGGTCGTGCTGTTGCTCCTAGACATGTTCCAGTGATCTCCACTGGATCTTTTGCCCTTGATATGGCATTGGGAGTTGGTGGCCTTCCCAAGGTATATCTCTACTTTATGTTATTCTAATGAAGATCTATGTATCTCTTTTAGTTTTAGGTTTGATTGTATAAGCTGAGCTGCTATACTGAGGTCATTTCCTATGGTTAGGTTTATGACTCGGATTGAACATGCTTGACTTGAGGTCCATGTATAAATTCATATTTCATTAGAAGTTCAATGCTAACATGCCGGAGAATGTTGTCCTCCTCAAGTTTTGGTTGGTTCTTATTGTTTTCTTTATTGTAAATTCCATAGGGGCGTGTTGTGGAGATATATGGTCCCGAAGCATCTGGAAAAACCACGCTTGCTCTGCATGTTATTGCAGAAGCTCAAAAACAAGGAGGTTGCTTTATTATCAACTCTTAGCATATTCTCCCAGAACCTTATCATGAACATCTGTATTAAATTTTAGCAGCCTAATCATAATGGATGAATTGGAAACAATGAGAAAAAAAAGGGTGGCTCGGCTTCAGGTTCTAAGGTATTCTTTTCCATGCTGTTCTGTTCTGTGTGCAGGGACCTGTGTCTTTGTAGATGCTGAGCATGCTCTCGATTCATCATTTGCTAAGGCAATTGGCGTAAACACAGAAAATCTGCTTCTTTCGCAACCCGATTGTGGTGAACAGGCCCTTAGTCTTGTGGACACCTTGATCCGGAGTGGTTCTGTTGATGTTATTGTTGTTGACAGTGTAAGTAAGGTGCTGAATTCGAGCTGGTGCTATCACTTACCACTTGAGACTAAATCATTTCCTTAAATGGAATATTGATGACCCACTTACTCTTTCTTGCAGGTTGCTGCTCTTGTTCCTAAGGGGGAACTCGATGGTGAGATGGGTGATGCCCATATGGCTATGCAAGCCAGACTGATGAGCCAAGCTTTACGTAAATTGAGCCACTCTTTATCATTATCACAAACTCTTTTGATCTTTATAAATCAGGTATGGAACCTTGTCTGCTTTTGATACTCTTGGCTGATGTAAATGTTCATCTCGCTTATGTTTACTTGTTTTTCAATTTGTATATTAGGTGAGATCGAAACTATCCACATTTGGAGGTTTTGGGGGTCCTCAAGAAGTTACTTGTGGTGGTAATGCCTTAAAGTTCTACGCTTCTGTGCGTCTAAATATCAGGAGAGTTGGATTCGTCAAGAAAGGCGAAGAGGTAACCTTGTCCCACATTTTGATTTAAAGTTCAAAGCTTTTTCCTCAAAACATGTTATCTTGGGTTGAACTAGTGGGTATTCAGCTCATAAAATTGTATTTGCCAAATACAAAACTGAGTCTGTTCTTGCCTGAAAAGATTGAAGTGTTTACCGACAGTCACAGAGAAGTGTATTGACTTAATGCTTTGGCTCTCAGACAACGGGAACTCAAGTTGCTGTCAAGATTGTGAAGAACAAACTTGCGCCGCCGTTTAGGACAGCGCAGTTTGAACTTGAGTTTGGCAAGGGAATCTGCAAGGCGACCGAGATCATTGACCTGGGAGTAAAACACAAGTTCATCTCAAAAGCCGGTGCCATCTACTGCCTCAACGACAGTCAGAAATTCCGAGGGAAGGACGCGTTGAAAAGATTCCTGCTTGAGAATGAATCTGCGTTAGAAGAGCTAATCAACAAGCTCAGACAGAAGCTTCTCGACGACGAAACGACACCTAAGGAATCTGAACAGGAGGAAGATCCTCCCCAAGTTGTGGTTCCATCTGAGGCAATGGATGATGAAACGAACGTTGCTGCAGTTGAAGCATGATGTGTATGATCTATAATTTTCAATCTGGGTTTGGTTCTTCTCTGGTTTAGAATCCTGGGCTCGGTTTAATCTTGATCCTGGTTCGGGTTCCAACTGTCTCAAGGTCTCTCTGTCTCATGTCTGCTTGTAACCTTAGATGTAAGAGAAGTTGCATCAATACGAATTAGATCGTGTTCAGGCCCTTCTAATTAAGGAAAGGAGTATATTTTCTGCCGGTTCTTTATTTTTTTGTTAGGACGGAAATTTTCCAAACCAAATAACCATATGATGAAAAGCCAATCGATTTCGAAGAAAATAAAAAGGGATTTTTTTTTATTATAAAAGACCATTGTACACCTTCACAGGCTAATCCGAAGAAATGGGAACCCTTTGGCATAATTGTCATTTTGCACCTCCAGTTCCTTTAGATAGTAAAGTTTTCCCCTTTCGAAGATTCTCTTTCGTCAAAGTTCGGTTCTCCACTAGGATCGATCCAATTCTCTGCAGCAGAGCGAAGAGCTTGAAAATGGCGACGTCTGAGCGAAGCCCAGGTGCGTAAGAGAGATGCCCATAGCGATTCTCATTTACGATTTTCAGTTCGGCTTTGAAATTTGGATTATGGAGAGTAATTGATTGGTGGGTTCTGGTTCTCAGCTGTTGAACAGCAGAGGGTCGTAATCTCAAACAGTCATGACGAGAAGATCGTCGGTCTGCTTCATGAGACTGGGTCGAGAGAAATAGTGATCTTATGCCATGGATTTCGAGCAAACAAGGTTAGTAATCTTCTTCAGGAGATCTAAGAGAAGTGATCTTCGAGATGTTTGGGTTTGATGCCCAAGTGTTCTTGCCCTAACTTCAAATTTTCTCGCCGAATTTTTATTGTGCATAGTGATTCATTATGCAAATTCGAAGCTTTTTGTTTTGTTTGTCATCTGATATTTCCAAAGATGAAAGCTTTTGCGTTAATTCTGTAACATACTTGACTGTTTCAGAACCTTTTCCGTAATTGCATAGACATTCTGAAACTGGATTTAGCTCATAGTGATGGAACTGGATTTGAAAGGGCCTAATAGATACTACTCAAGATTCTTCACCTCACACCCTCGAGCTGTTTAGAGTTCACGGGGTTAGCTTTTTATAATGGAAAGTGTTACCATTGTTTTACTGCATCCATCTAATCATTTTCTTAAGTTGGAGTAAGTTTTCATGTTTCATATTTATCTCTGGCTCGTAAATTCGAAAACTTTGCACTTGGGTCAGTTCTAACCTGCTGGATGTCCGTCCATAGCGTTTGATTATCAATAATTTCTTTCCAAGAAGTGGTTAGCTACCTCTCTGGCTGTGTTCTGGCTTTCTTCTTATTCGTGGGATGGGTTCTTTTGGTGCCGGTTAAGTTTCCGTCTTTAAAAGGTTTCTCCCATAACCAACGTGATGATATTGAACCAGTTTTGAACCAGTTCCTTTTGTTTTAGACGTACCAGCATATACGCCATTTACCTTCTAAACATTTTGTACACCGGAGATGAAATCCATACAATGACTAATATTCATGTGCCTTTGGGTGTTGCATGTGCTATCAGATGGTATCCCTAAGTTAACATGTTTATGATTGATGACATGCAGAATCACCGAATTATGACTAATGTGGCTGCTGCTCTAGAGAATGAAGGGCTCACTGCTTTCCGTTTCGATTTCTCTGGCAATGGGTAAGTTACTCTTTGAGGAGATATTAGAGCTGTGGATTCTCGTATGTTTTCTGTTGATTTTGAGGTTATTGTGTCAGAGAAAGCCAAGGCAATTTCCAGTACGGTCATTATTACCGCGAAGCTGATGATTTACGGTCTGTAATTCAACACTTCTCTAACATGAACCGTGTGGTAACTGCAATTCTCGGACACAGTAAAGGTGAATGTTAACTATCCGGTCCTTCATCTTTTCCTTAGCTCTTGTCTAAATACTCGATGTTTTATGCCCTCAGGAGGTGATGTTGTGCTCCTCTATGCCTCGAAGTATCATGATATTCCCAATGTGGTGAATGTCTCGGGACGGTATGATCTGAAAAGAGGCATCGGAGAACGTATAGGAGAGGATTTCTTGGAGAGGATTAAACAAAACGGGTTCATCAATGTGAAGGATAAAAACGGTAATAATCAAGGCGAGATTTTGGAGAAATCCGGAAGAAGTCTGAATGAATTCGATACTCTATCTCTATGTCAATGAATCTTTGTTCGATGTGTGTTTGGTTCAACAGGAAATTCCGGGTATCGGGTGACGGAAGAGAGCTTAATGGATAGGCTGAACACTAATATGCAAGAAGCATGTCTGAAAATCGACAGAGAATGCAGGTGAGTGAGAGAGAGAGAGATCATGTGAAAAAAAAAGTCGATGTTTTTACGTTCTTTTCAGAAGATAAAGGTTCGATCTTTGGAATCTTTGTGAAGGGTCTTGACGGTTCATGGATCGGTTGATGAGATAATTCCAGTGGAAGATGCAATGGAATTTGATAAGATCATACCTAACCACAAGCTGCACATTGTGGAAGGAGCTGACCATGGATACAGTAATCATCAATCTGAATTAATATCTCTTGTTTTGGATTTCATTAAGGCAGGTATTGCAAAAATCTAGCCTCTCTTTTTAAAACTAGCCCGAGTTAATCATATATTGTATTGTTTTGGAGTTCATAATGGCAGAGATTGTAATAAATCCTTTATTACATGAAACATCCTTCTTCAGTATGTTTGGATGTGTTGTTTTCCATCAGTGGTGGTCGTTTCAGGTTTCGGTTTGGTTATTTCATTTTAGAAAAATTATATCTATTCGGATTTTATATTAATTTCACATCGGTTTGGTTTTGATTCAGTTTTTTATTGGTAAAAATTCAGTTTTTTTTCAAAGAGGTTATCGGATTTTTCAGTTATTTTTTATTTCGGTCCAGATTCAATTTTTTGGATTTAGAGAAATTATAATTGTTCGGTATTTATATCAGATTCGATGCAATTACAGCTTTATCTTATTCGATTCGGTTTGGTTATTTAGTTAATAACCAAAATGATCACCCAAAACAGATGCAAGAGAGTTTATTGGAATGCCATTACTTAGTCTTTTAACTTTTTAATCGATGATTTTGATATTTATGTATAAATTAGATGTGTTTGTATAAAATGGCATGTATTTGATTTTTTTTTTTCTAAAATAATCTTCAAATATTGGTCGAAATTGAATTAAGCACAGGATTCAATTAACCACTAACCATTTTCAAAAAAAAAATATATCGAAATAAAAGTGTTACGATAACTAAATTTTAAAAAATATATATTAGAAAAACATAAGTTTTTTTTAATGAAAATGATGTGTATTAATCTAGCAAAAATGTATATCCAGTCCAAGACTATATACAAAAGGAATCCATAAGGAAATAGTCAAAATAGGATAGAATTTTATAACATAAAATAAAATGCATCAGCTATGGTGGTCTCAAGAAATGAGTGAGACAGAACCAATCAGCCAAAAGAGAAGAGGTGGCAGCTGTAGGTGTGCATTTGACAGACAGGAGGATATTACACATAACACGATCAACTTTCCATTTCAGATGCGGAATTGTACGGTTGATACCTCGAAATATTATGTTGTTCATTTCCTTCCAGACTATATATACCGTAATCTGAAGCAATAATTTTGCAATTTTTCTCCGCCCTCGTGTTGCGACTTCATATACCGGAATTGTACGGTTGATACGTCGAAAAACATAAGTTATGTAATGATTATTTGAGATCCAAGACAGCGTAGCAATATACAATTATTTTTAGGAGAGGGACGAGTTAATTGTGGTGCTAACAAAGCAAATATTCTGCTTAGATTTTAATTAAATAAAAATGTCTTGGCCGGGAGAAAGCAGCCTCTTGGGATCAAACAAGAGCTTCCTTGTAAGGAAATCACCCCATTTTGATCCGAAATGCTTAACCCAGTCCTGTTTTCTCGTGTAATGCATCAAGAATATATTTCATAAAAATATATCATTATTGTTGCATCATTTCTAGGATATTATTGAATCGATTATTATACTACGTAGAATTTGTAGCATTTTTCTTTTTCATTTTGTTTGTAATATTCCTAAAATATATAACTTTTTTTCACGCTAGTATGATCATAATTTTTGTTTGTCAAACTTGGATATAATCTAAATTTATTTGTCTAATTATTTAAGAATTTTTTTCGCTATTTTAGAAAATTAACACAACGAAAAGGGATAAAAATGTCAAATAAAAAGAAAAATGAATGTGGTATTTGATAAGTTTTGTTTATTATATATATGTCTCTTAAGTCATTTCTTTTAATAAATGGGAAAGAGCAATATATAGAGCGTCGAGTTCTTGCCAGCTTTCCGATCCCGCCGACTGCAGAAGTCCGACCACGTAGAAAACATCCTCGTCCGGTGTCATTGCCGACATTCGATCATCCCATCTGATTAAAAGAAAAACATACCAAACACCTTTAAGTCCATTGATGAGATTCAATCTGCTAATCATTATGAGTATTTGTAAGCATCGGTGGCCATTTTTGTTATCAGCTTGAATAGTCAAACCCGATCAGAACCGAATAAGGTATAGGTATACCCATAATCGAACCGAATCTGATCTAAAACCCAGATGGTTATAACTTTTTTAAAACGGAAAAACCTAAATTCTAACCGAACCAAATAAAAAATAACCGAAAAAAAAACCCCCAAATTTTTTTTTGAAAAAAATAGTATTTTACCAAAAAAACCAAATTTGAATTGAACCGAATTGATATAAAAACCGATTGGTTAAAATTTTTCCATAACCGAACCTAAATATAATTAGACTAAAACCCCAAATAACCACCCCCGTTTAAGAGTGGGTATAGGCCAACCCGATTTTTCGAATACCCGACCTCATCCATGAGTCTGTATCCGATCTGCCGGTGGAATGAGTACGAGTCCGAAGACGGTGAGAACCCGATTACATATTTGGATTTGGGTTTCGACCGATGATTATCCTTACCCATCACTAGAGGGATTTAGGGTTAGGGTGGCGATTCAGATTGTTGATGGAAATGGAAACTTACTTGTTACGGTTGGTGGGATAGAAGAGGGTGAGTCCTGAGGTTGATGTCTGGTTGAGGAGAATCCCTTTTATTACACCTTCGTGGAAATCGAAGATCCGAGATCTCGGGACGAAGATGTTAAGCCATGGATGAGGAACTTCCCATAACCCTAAATCTCTCAGCTTCAGCTCCTCGGTCCGGACACGGTTCAAGAAATCCAAGTACGGAACATCTTGCACGAACATAAACCCAGGAACATAACTTAAGATTCTTGTTAACAAGTCAATCACCTGCAAAAAAAAACAGACAAAAGACGATCATATGATGAATTGATGATGATGATGATGACAGATGAAGATGATGATGCATACCTGGCTAATGATGGGAAGTGTGATGTCATCGTAATACTTGGCTACTTCGAGAACATAGATGATACGGTGGTCATTCACCAGAGAGACGACTCGAGATTGATCGGACAATGGGAAGAAAGAGGTGTCTACGACGCCGTTTGACATGAAGAGTTGACCTTCTAAATAGTCAACGCCAATGTCATCCACCATTGATATCAGACGTTCTTGGTCCCTCGTAAAGGCTGAGAAGTCGCTGTACAGTATCCGTAACCATTTGACCTTCAATTATTTTTTTTTAATTATACCAACATTTGTGAGTATCTCCTTCAAAAAAATATTAAAATGCAGTTTATAAATTGAACACGTAACGATCATACTGACCTAAGAACCACTCAATTCTCATGTTGGTTTTTAATTAGAAATATAGAGGATATATATATATATATATCCTCTCTCTCTCTATATATATATATATATATATCCAATTAGTAACCTATTTATCGATGCACACCATCTGTTTCATACGAACCATACACATCTGAAAATTTTCGCACGTAAATTTGGATTTCATGTGTTTAATTAGTCCGATTCGTTCTCGAATTCTAAGGAAAAACTATATGAATTATCAAACTCCTAACAAAAAAAAATCAAGGAGCAAGAGCAACCATATGATTTATGTGTTATTATATGGTCAAAGTGTAATAATAAGTATTTATGAGAAAACGACAAAAACAAAAATATTCTATCAGGCTACATGCTACATATGCAAATGGTTTGAGAATATATATAATATATATAACCTCTTGTGTGGAAAATATGATTTAAAAACATTATATTTTGACATCGAAAAGATTTGCACGCATAAGACAAGATTGAAGATTGGAAGTCCTAGGATTTGATGGGAATCTTATATACATAAGCCATATAGATTTTGTTCAAATAATGCAAACCAACCCTTTGACTTCCCACCAAAAATGATAATTATTTTTATTTTGTGGCCATAAATATATTTAGGACGTTTTCGCATCCATGTTATTCATATACCCACGTCTCCTCCCACGTGTGTGTGTGTGTGTGTGAGAGCATGTCATGTGCGTGTGCAGACATATCATACGTTATAAATGCAAGATATATGTACACATACATATATATATATATATATATATATATATGATGATGATGATGATTTCTTGATACATACCCTTTTGGGTGCATGATCCAAGGCAATTCTGGCTCTGGTTATAATACCAAATTGACCCAAACCCCCCAAAACTCCAAAGAACAACTCTGGATTCAGCTGTGGGGAGCAAGTCAGCATTTCACCTTTTCCTGAAATAAAATAAAAAACACTAATATTATATATATATATATATATATGTATATATAAGCACAACTAATCATGGATCTTTCTTACTAACATAAACATTTTAAAATCTTCGTCTATATACATTATTATAACGTGTAAGTTTACTTCATCAATCATCTGGATTGGATGAAAGTCATGTATTTTAAGGGGAGGAAAAAATATGTCAGCCGCCCAATAATAATATAAATATATATATGCTGACCTACAATAACATATATATATAGCATCTTTTGAAAAGTAGAATGTGGAGAAAATAATTTTAAGTATTTCGTTGAATAGACCTATTCTCTTCTCTATTATTTTTTTTTTAATGTGATGGACCTATTATATTACTATCCAAAAAAATATACTATATATATAACACCTTTTTTCTCAATGGGTTAAAATATTTTCTAAGAAGATCTAAAAAAGGAAGTCTTGTTTAATCGGTATACCTGCAATTTGTTTGATAAAGCAACCCTAAATTGCTGAAAAAGCTCAATTGCATGCGTCATGCATGGACGTTAAACACTCCTAATTTAACACGTACACTCTTCAATGACTAGATTTCTACCTATCTATCTCTCTCTTATATTATATATATATATATATATATTGTTTTCATCGAATCATTTCTCACGTGTTTTCACCATGTTAATAACGTATATTGAACTGTTGACATGTTAATGTAGAAGTAAAAAATAATATTTTGCAAATATATACAATGAAATCGTTTCAAAATCAAAACCATATTTTGGCAATGACGTATTTGCTTAATTTCTTTTTTTTTATATGAAAATTGCATAGTTTCTTTGTATTTGTAAGCGTGGGAAAAATGAACAAAAATATCTTAAAACCAACACAAATAGTTTCTGAAAACGTTAAAGCGTTTGTTTTGGAGACGTTACTTACGTACTATAATAATAAGGATTCGAATTTTACGAGATACCATATTTTACGTTTTTTTACCTTGAAA